GAAAAACGTGAAACGTCTGAAATTTCACGTACTATTGTGAAGGTAAATACTATCAATAAAACTAATTTTAAAAACAATTCGACTAAGCTTAAATTTTGCGTTTTAAAATTTAATCCTCAACTTTGCAAATTAATACTAATGTAGTTAAAAATGCCTGACAGATAATGCTTGAAAATGTGAAGCTTCAAAGATTTATTAAATATCAGATATTTCACTTTCTAAATTATCATTTTTTATTAAGCATTAAATTAAACGTCTTTTTTTATAAAATATGAAATAATTATTAAGTATCAGATACTTTACTATCAAACTTTTTGGCTGTTTCTCATTTATTAATAAATTTTTACTTCCAAAAAATCATCATTGGAAAATTGTAAGTTAATATTTTATTTTATTTTTTAAACTGATTTACTTATAAAGTATAAGTAATTTGTATTTGATTCAAAGCAATTAGTTTTGTTATGAATTACTTCTTGACAAATTGGTATTCTAATAGAAACTGATCACAACATGATCTGCATTAGTTTTTAAATTAACGTGAAAAGAAGAAAACTTTTTTGCCAAATATTTGAAATCAATATTGATATTACTTTTATGAATTGTTAATTGATAAATAATTTATAAATTTTTAAAAAAGAAGTAAAAAAAACCATAATATAAAATTTAGATCTTCAGTTCTGAATTCAACCAGAATACCTGAGGGGGTGCAAAAACATTGAGGTAAAGACAATCTTCAGAAATGTGAATTCGATAAACATTAGAAGGGTCAGTTTGACGAGTTCGAGGTTTCTGAGCACACATCGCAGAATACTGAGTAGCATTCATAACACCTCGCCATTTTGCTGGTGGTTCTGGCATCTGTAATTCATACTAATACTTTAATTTACATCAAAATTTTATTACTTATTTTTCATTCATATTGTTATTAAAAATATTACTTATATATTAGGCTTACTTAAAATTTTACTTAATTACCAAATAACTTTGTTAATTGCTGCAATATCTCAATGTAGTCATTTTATGCTATACAAATTAATTATTTCTGTAACAAATTAATATTAATTTCATTGTTTATAATTTTTATTAGCTAAGCATTTAATAGTAATTTCATAATTGAATAATTAGCAAATTTTTAATTAATACTTGAAAACGAAGCGATCCAACGGGTGGTGCAGCGTAAGGAATTCCTTTAAAAGCAGCAAAATCATTTGCGCCAATTGTCTGTAAAATATAATAGAAAAAGTTTTAAGAAAACTAACATAAGTACTTTTTTTTTTTAAATTTATGTTTTATTCGCTTTTTTTATTCTCCTAATAAAATCAAAAAATGTGCACTATTTTAAACAAATTCGAAAATATCAATTAAGTGCTAATTTTTGAAAGTTAGAAAAACTAAGACAAATTACTTACTTTTAGCGCTAAAACTTTATCTAATGAATACTCAAATATAGTAACTAGTATGATTCACGGAAATAGCTTAAATTTCATAGAACTATTTCAAAGAATGAAAAAACTAGAAAGACAAATCAACTTTTTTTTGGTAGAATAAAAAAATAAATATTTTTTCAATAGCAAAAAAAATTACCACTTTGCAAATCTCCCCAAAACTTTGTAAATTTATGTATAGGATTCATTAAAACTATTATTAATGCTATCATATTCCAATATTATGCTTAATATACGATATATGTATTCCAATATTATGCTTAATATATGATATATGTATTCCAATATTATGCTTAATATGTGATATACGTCAAGACAGTGCTGATAAAGTTATCTAATACTACAATTACAATAATTTATGTATTTTTAATGAGTATAATTGTTTATTCGCTAATTGGTATTCATCGAATAGTAGACATGCAATAAAAAAGTAATTCAAAAAAGAATAATATAATCTTTTTAAATGTAAAAAAATGGCTGCCAGACAAGTACATCCATCCAAGCCATAGAACAATTTAAAATAAAGCAAAAAATAAAAAATAAAAAAAAAGAAAAAGTTTTTAAGAACTATTTTTTTTTGTGTATTTTTTTTTCAGATTCCTTGCAAAACCAGACCAAATATTCGCCTCGTATTGAACCAGAATCAATGGTAAGCTCGATTGCATGTGTTCTTCGAATGGTAGCATTTGAAGAAGGTGTAAAGAGATACTGGATGAGGCTAAGAAACCAAATCACATTGCATCCTATCCAAACTTGCATAGCGCATTTAGCAGCAACCGCGGTTCATTACCATTACTTTCACTTTTTCAAACTTTTTTTTGCCTTTTTCTTCTTTTTTCTTTTAAAAGTTTTATTGCATTTTATTTGCTTTTTATCAATTATTTCATCTTAGTTTTGAACAAAAAATTTAACAATTTTTATGCTAATTTCCAATTATCAATGCCAAATACTATCAGTAATAGAAGAAATTAGCAGTTTGAAAAAATATTTTAGTTATTTGCTTTATTTCAAATATACTTTTTGTAAATGAATAAATAGATTGAAGTCAATCAGTTGAGCGTGAAAATCAAGTTGGCGGATTCTTTGATCAAGCTGACGTATTGTTTGATTAATTTGACGTATGCTAATCATTAAAATTTGCAAACGTCATAATTTTTTTTCAAAGAAATAAGAAGCTTAAAATAGGCAGTTTATACAATCCAATGGTAGTGATGAGTGTAGCAGAAGTAGCTGTATTAATAGTATAAATTACCATAGTTAAATATGAAATTGAAATATGGCAGTGATGGCTGATAGCAGTAAAAGTTCTTCTACCTTTCATGGTAAGTTGCAAGCAAATATTGTAAAATGATGAATTAATTAATCAATTAATTAATTATAATTTTAAGTAATAATTATTCGCAAAGATTATCTTGTTGGAATAAACATAAGAAGAATAAATTGTGCTAAAATGAGTTAAGGTATGCATTTTTATCCGGGCACTTTTTTATAACTTTGGCAGCTTTCAGCGTAGCAGTAAATAAGGACACTTTTGATGACAATCTGCCTGGAATATATTATTAAAATTAAAATTATACTAATT